ATTTCAATTTAAAATAAAAATTAAAATTAAGCATGAAATATCAATTCGTTATTAAATCAAACAACACCCTATCAACTAAGATAATTGACAATTTTTCAAAACTTCGAATATTCCAAGTATTCCCAAACTAGAAAGATTGTTTGACACCAAGACATTTTGGATTGGAAATCGGAATTCTTGTTTCAATTTGATCCGTCCGAAATCACCCAAGTCTAGCTGCTAACGAAATCACCCAAGTGGCTGGCTGGCTATTGTCTTAGGTAAAGGGGCATAATAGTCTTGAGTAGATTTGCTGAAAAGTAATGCACTGCTAGCTTTTCCTTTTGTAAATTAGTTTGCGAGACTATCAGTTAAAACTCATTTTAAATAAGAGAAAGATTTTCTGCTTTACATTTTTACTTTGAATATGCATTTTGGATATGGTGTGCATTGTCTTACTCTGCATTGCTGTAGGTCGTGATGTCATTCCACGAGTGTGGAGGCAATGTCGGGGATGATGTACATATCCCACTTCCTCACTGGGTGACAGAAATTGGCCAAAAGAATCCTGATATACATTTTGGATATTATGTTGTGTTGCTTGGTTGCACCCTTTGAACCCCTGCATAAGCCACAATCAGGCATCTCGGATAAGCTCTAATTCAAGCCTTCTCTCTAAAACTGGAGCTTATACGAGAAGCTGAAATCCAATTAATGAAATAATGTAGAGTGGCGAATGTATATTCTCAGATTCATGTATGCTTGTGCATGTAACTTCTTCTAGCCAAAGGATCAACATTGGTAGAAGCTCTTTGTTTACACATTTCTTATCAATCAAAGCTGATTCAAACTGACCCTACACTCACATTTACTGAATTTCTTACACTCCAAGACATGGAAAAAAAATTAAAGCATATTCTGTTGTCCTACGCGTCTATCAATTCTCGCTGCATTTTGTTTTCGGATAGATTACCATGTATGTAATCTATATCATATGCCTGCTGCTATGATCTGTACAATACGCTTGCTATTATGAGACGATATGTCTCACATGGTGTAGCGCTTGCTTTGTTTTTTCTGTTGGCCTGATCTAACATCTAAATTTAATACACTTGAAAACGCAGGAGAAGCCGCTCCTGATGTTTAGATCAACTCAAATAGACAGCACAACGGTTTCAGGGGACGGACGAGGGGCTTGCTGCTTCGGAGAGAGATTAATAAAAACTTCGACTCGTGTGTGTGTGCAAATCTACATATAGGAATAATAAAAAAAAGTTTTCTAGCATTCCACAGGTTTGGTGTATTCACTGATAAAACTATGGTTACAAACTTGTAACCGATGATGGTAATTTATAAGATATTTCCATTCCAAATCTCACAAATGCATACTCATGTCATGAGCCTTGTTTTTAGCTACAAGTTACTAAAAGTGACGGGAAAGGATACAAACAACACCCCACTTGTAAGTGATTCCAGATCAGCTCAACAACGATGGTTGTTTGTGTGGTTGCAAATGTTGATGGAGGCTAAATTGCACAAATCATTAGTGCGCGAAGTGGGTTATATGTCAGTGTTACTCGTGTGCATGGGTGACACAGACATATGATCCGCACCGTATGAATGATTCGTGTAATTTGACTAATTTTCAATTAGAGATGGGGACGATTGATTGCACCGCATGAATGATTCGTGCAATTTGACTAATTTTCAATTAAAGATGGGGACGATTGATTGTATTGGCATTGTATGATCGATAATGTTGTTCAATGCAATTAATATATCATTTTTAAATGGTGGGGAATTCAATGACGCGAGACTTTAGAATAATAAAAAATTATATGACTTTTTAAGTCTTTTGAAGGAACAAGAGTTGTAGGTTCACAGTTGGAATAATGAAATTTCCACACAATTAGGACAGAAGTCTCACTTTCTAATTGATAGATATTCTTGTGTTTGACTTCTGACACATGACACTTTTATTATGGTTTAAAAAAGTATAAGGGGGATTTGTGTGTGTATACCAAATTTTGGCCAAATGTGACTCCATAATTAGTTCATTTTGTTTCATATTGATCAAACTGGGTTCAATTACAATGTATATCATAAGAGGTTTGGGGTGAAATCCAAATATCATATTCTTCTTCATCAAGACATCAATGCCTTGTCTACTGGGGCGAAGCCAAAAAATAGATGGACAAGACTGATGAAGAAGCTCATTAAGCTCGTGAAAGGTAGGCCATGGCAATCCGTGCAAATGGGCAGATGAGAAGAACAAAAATAAGAAAACCTTTGACTGCTTGATAAGCTAGTCAGTCTACTATAGAGGACCAGTTTCTTCAATATAAACCTCGAATAATAGTTCTTCACTAATTAAATCTGTTTTTAAAGTAAGAATTTATAATACATTATTTCACTTTTATAACTAAGAACTTGATCATCACCTAGCTGCCAAAGAACATGTTATCTCTATGTTTGAACATATTGGGTCTTGAATGTCACCCACAGCCACATGAGTCTCTTGTGGGCATAGAGAAGGCCTGGGGGGCATTTGCAGACATTCAACATCTCCTCCAAGCATCTCGATGACTTTGTGCATCGAAGGGCGATCAGTTGGCTTCATTTGAATGCACCACAAGGCGGTTATAACCATCTTTCTGATTACATTCTTTTCCTCCTCTGTTACATTGTCCATCTCCAAGTCATTTCCCACATTATACTGATCGTATACCCACAGTGGGAAGTAGATTTGGCTTGAATGCTCTACCGTTGTATTCAAATTCTTCCTTCTGCTTGCCATTTCCATCAACAACATTCCGAAACTATAGACATCGGCCTTGTGTGAGACGCCTCCAATATTTTTGTAGAACAATTCAGGAGCAATATATCCCATTGTACCCCTCGCTGCCGTCAACGTGACAATGCTATTATCGACGGGATACAACTTTGCTAGCCCAAAGTCGGAAACCTTTGCTTTGAAGTTCTCATCAAGAAGAATATTATGAGGCTTGATATCGAAATGGAGAATTTGCATCGCGCAACCTTGATGTAGATACTCAATCCCTTGAGCCACTCCAAGAGAAATCTCATACATTTTGTCGATAGTTAAAGGCACACTTCCTTCTTTGGAATAAATGTATTTATCAAGAGAGCCATTAGCCATGAACTCATATACTAGAGCACACTTTGATCCCTCAACACAATAACCAACGAGTCGCACCACATTGACATGGTGAATCCTTCCAATGGTAGCTATTTCACTAATGAAATCTTGGCCATTAGCTTTGGACTTGCCCAGAACTTTAATTGCTACAAAACGGCCGCTGCGTAACTTTCCTTTAAATACCGAGCCATAGCCGCCTTCGCCCAACTTATCCTTAAACTTGCGAGTCATCTTCTTGATGTCCGAGTAAGAGTACCTTATAGGCACGAAATTCTTATCGCGCTGTAGAAAGTCTTCTATTGTACTATACATTGACAAATGTCTTCTTCGCCATTTATAGACTAAAAATACAGCCGCAATTGGAATGCCAAACAGTAGTCTTGCTGGAAAAAATAAGCCTGCAAAAATATATATCACCAAAAGAATCATAAGAAAAGAAACTTATATGTTAGATCCACACTACCTTCAACTTTCTTCAACTTCTTTTGTTTCTAAATTACAGTTTACTTTGTTTCATTCATGACAAGTTGGAATCTACACACGCACATATACAACTAATAATTCAAGCTTTTCTTACCGATGCCCATCAGTATACCCCATCCACGCACTGCAACAAAATAGCAAAGAGTAAAAGCCAATTATATCAACGGCTATAAGTTTGAAAAGTGAATAAAAATCAAAGACTTGACTATATAAATGCAAGAAATACAAGCTCTGTCTTACCGATGGAATGGAATGGAAACCATCGAGGAAAGTGTCCTGCAATAAATACCAAACAAAATTCAGCAACGACAAAACACTAGACTACATAGACAGAAGTTAGCGTTTGGAGAGACAATCCTTACCAAGATCCACGGGTTCACTCAGAGTATAACCTACAGTGACAAAAGTGAAAAAAAGTACACAACATTAGCAATACCATAACGAGTCTTCATTAGTGTTGAATCATCAAGTTTCGAAACATATCTTTTCAGCGAGTCCTACAATTACGCTTTTGGTATATAACCAACAACTGAATGCCAAATCTCAAAGATGATTTAGTTTACTGCCTGCCATGTTTACTTAAAGGGTAATTATTCACAACCTCAATCTTGGGCCACACAACAAATTTTTACTTCATTTTTTTGAACATTGCAATATCATACATTAACCTACATATCCATTACAACCTCTGTCTCCTTATCCATCAATTTGTCTGTTAACTGCTCATGTAACAGACGCAAGACCCACTCTCTCGCCCATCTGAATTGAAAAATTAATTAAATATTAATAAATTAAGAATTTCAAAATCCTTCGCACACTGCACTACTCAAAAACCTTAATTTAGTACTATTTAATTTCTCGTCAATAGGAAAATTAACGAAAAGTCCAAAAAAACTTAAGTTTTAATGAAAAAGAACAAATAAAGGTGTAAGTAAATAGTACCAGAAAAGGTAAAAATGTGATTTTTTGTTAAAAGTGAACAGTACTGGAAGTGTTTCGTTAAAACTTCATTTCTCAATTCAATTGGGCGAGGGAGTGGCTAGCAATTGCAAGGTCATCATTTAATAGACAAATAAATGATAAAAATACGGAAGTCTAATATTGCAACGAATTTATAAGGTAATATATGATGTTGCAATATTAAAAAAAAATGAGGTATGAGTTTGTTATGTGACATAATTTACTCTTACTTATAATTTGTAGAAAGAGGATACACATTGAAATCTAACTACAAAAGTTAGAGGCTTGTGTATACTCTAAAGTTGTAAATATTGAATTTTAAAAAGAAACAAAAAGGAGAGATTTATTTTCTTCATTTTTGTTTTGGAGAGGGACCACTTACGGATTTTAGCCCATGCATATTGAAAGAAACCTACAGTAAAAGAATAAAACAACATTAGCATAACAACCGTTAGAAAATAAAATTCAAGTTGCTGCCATTTGTTGATACCTGTACAGCATTTGCATATATAAGAAATAAAGGGATATAGTTTTGGGAAATGGCCATTATATAAGAAAAATGGTAAATTATAAGAGTCGATATCAATTCGTTATAATATTTTTAAAATATTTTATTTTCATACCTCAAGTATTATTTTATTTCAATATAGTAAATCTGTTATATTTTTCATCTATTGATTCTTTAAAAACTGATGTGGTTGCCACATTTGTGTCACGTGACTGCTAAATTTATGCTACGTGGCAATTTTTTTTTATTCATTTAAAAATAAATAATTTAAAAGTTATTAATTTTAAAAAAATAAAAATAAAAAACCAACATAACCCATCTTCTTCCCCGACCCCCCCTGCAACCCAAACCCCCCACCCCACCCCACCCCCACCTCCGCCGCAACCCCCACCACACCGAAAACCCAGCTGGGTTTTTTGGAAGCGAGAGTTGCAGAAGACACACAGAGGTGCCCCCACGGAGACAAGGAGAAGAAGACGGATCGGGTCTTGTAGCTGCTTTCTCCTTCTAAGTCCACTTCTCTTCTCTCTCTCTCTCTCTCTCTCTCTCTCTCTCTCTCTCTCTCTCTCTCTTTCTCTGTCTAGAATTCCCTTTGCTTTGACTGAGGTCTCCACTCACAATGATGGCAAGGACTGCTGCCACATCGTGGATGGTAAGGTAATCTTCTAGCTCCTAAGCTGCGGTTTTCAGTTAAATTTGTGGATTTTGCATCTGGGTTTTAATTTGAGGGTTTCTGTGTATGATTGAATCTGGGTTTTGATTTGAGGGTTTCTGTGTGTGATTGAATCTGGGTTTTGCTCTGATTGGATCTGTGTGAAGTGCTTTTTTTTCGTCTTGAGAATTTAATTCCCCCTTTTGATTTTGGGGTTTTGGGTTGAATAGCTGGGTTTTATTGGGGTTTTGGGTGGGGTGGGGTGGGGGTATGGGTTGCAGGGAAGGGGGACGGGGAAGAAGATGGCTTCTGGGTTTTATTTATTTATTATTTATTATTTATTATTATTATTTTTAATTAATAACTTTTTTAATTAATTATTTTTACATGAATAAAAAAATAGTTTTTTTGCCACACAAATTTAGCAGCCTAGTCAAGTGGATCAATGGATAGAAAACGTAATGGAGGTATTATATTGAAATAAAAAAAGTGAAATGTTTTAAAGATGTTGTAAGAAATTGAAATCGATCACAAACTTAAGGTGGGAAAATGTAATTTACCGTAAGAAAAACAATTAAAAGTGTTTAGCGGTAATAGAAATATAGACAACAACCACAATATAAACAGTCTTAATAGGATGAAATGTTTATCTCTTTATATAGTTCAGATAACCTCATAAATATTGTATTATTAAGATATTATTGTTACGATATCAATAATATTGTTACGGTATGATATCCATAATAATGTCTATATACTGTTGACATAATATGAATATTGTTGATATATTTTTCAAGCAGAATGAATGGCTTAGCAGGAGGTTTCGCAACGAAAGAATATATATTCCTCTTCCGTTGAGGAACAACTGGTGCTGCTCATTTTGTATACAACGATTCAAACTGTTTATATTGTAGTACATCATTCATAGATAAAAAAAAAATTAAAAAAATCCAAAACCATAAACACATTCAATTGTAGTAAAGAAAATAGAAGAATATGATTTTTCAAAAAACACTAGTATGACTGGCATTTAAAGAAAGAACTAAAAGATAGACAGATAAATCATTGAAAGACAATGTAAAATAGACCTACAAGCCATCCATCAAATAAGCTTGTTTGAGAACAAAGTACTTCATTTGAGAATTACGCACCTGGGATGGTGCGTGGATAACATTTATAATGAGGCAGAGTCCAAATGTCAAAGTAATATGAGCCATTGCAGGGTGAACGTAGTTCATCAGGCCAATACACTCGAAGCTCAAAGCCATACATGAGTGCACTGTGTATATATTCACAACTATAAGAGGCATTGTTGTACCCCTTAGAGTAGTCCAAGAGCATCCAAGCCTTCCCCTCGACACTGCAACCCTCATTCAAATCTTCCATATAGCTTGGGCGGTCAACCATGACATAACTATAAGATTTTGGTTGGATCAAAGAAGTGGCACTATTATTCAAGCATGGAGCAGTATCCACGTACAGAGAAGAATTCACTGGGTTTCTACACATCAAGTAAAATACTGACGTTGACCTTGAAAGCGGTGAACCATATGGATCTGGCAAATAATAGGGCAGAAATTTTTGAGGCAGGGAAGAGCAATTGTTGTTGTCAAGGCCAGAATCTAGAAGTCGGATTGTTCTGTTCTTGTAGTTGATTGCCTGTACGTAGTATTTGCCAGAACCAAGTGGATCTAGAACTGTTGTATTGTTGTTCTCACAGGAAAGAGTGTACCTTCCGTCGCCACATTTCTTCGGATCGTCGTTTAGTCGAAAAGGATAAGTTATGTTATGGATAAGGCCGCAGGAGGAGGTACATGAAGACTTACTATCATCCTTAGCGTTACAAGTTTCACCGCAAAAGCAAAGAACAAGAAAGACTAGAACGAAAGGCCACCAAGACAAGGTGAAGGATCTGCTTCCACCTTTTTCCATGGGTAGAAGAGAGAGAGAGAGAGAGAGAGAGAGTTGTTTACTAGTAGACAAAAAGTAGTAGTTTAGACGGTTGTATACATACCCATATTATAATATAGGAGTGGGGTTAAAGGAAGCACCTTCCGTGAAGCTCCAATGATGTTTAGAGGAAAGTCAGTCAATGATGTTTGTTTAAAGTCAGTCAATGATGTTTAAAGGAAGCACCTTCCGTGAAGCTCCAATGGGGTTAGAAAATATCTTAGAGGAAAGTCAGTCAATGATGTTTGTTTGACACAGTCAGTCCATAGCAAAGATTGACTTGTGCAAAGAAATGAGAGGGAGGAGGGAGGCTTGAAAATTCTAGTGTTATTAGTGGAGGATAATTGGGAAGCTATGACAAAAATTTCTTAGTTAATGAACTTAACATAAAATTGGGTATCGATAAAAGTACCCTCTGAGGGCAGGGACGGTTTTTGGATGACAAAACCTAGAGAGGTGTGTTCAATTAAGATTTTGAAGGATTTTAAAAGAGTTATAAATTTCATAGAATTTTATGGAATTTCAAAGACCTTTATTTAGTATTTTGGTAGTGCATTTGTAGCATTTTAGTAATTGAGAAGAGTGGGTTGGAGAAGAAGGTCACATCCACGAAAACAATCCAGTACTTGCAGTTGAGAAGACAATTTAAGACGGATAATCTTTTTTTTTTAATTTGTATAATAGAAAAGGAAGCACCTTCCCTGAAGTTGCATGCAGTAAGTACTCAAATTATTGATTAGCATAGAAAATATCATAGAGGAAAGTCGGTCAATGGCAAAGACCAACTTGTGTAATTACTACGTATGTATATATATATGTGTGCACGCTTAATTAGATTCCATGCGCATTATTATTGCTATTACTAGCTCAAAAATGCAGAAATTGCTCATCACTTCCTTTTGCAAATTGTTACTGGTTTTCTTCAAACTAGTTGAAGCAAGCCAATTTACGTGCTCCGAATCCAAATGTAGCGATGATCAAGGCCCGGCTATCCATTTTCCATTGCACCTCAAGCATCATTGTGGTCCTGGACTTGAATGCAATCAGACAGATGAGCAGCCGATAATCCTAGTAAAATTCTTTGTCAAGCGCATAGATTACAAGCGTCAGGAAATCCAAGTGCATGACCAATATTACTCTAATAATTGCTTGCTGCTAATAAAGCCTGTAAAACTCCCAAACATGCCACTCTCTCCCTTCTACTTGTCAATTTTCGACTTCTGTAACGTTACCTTGTTCAGCTGCCCACCTGGTGGAACGAATTATTGGAATCAAGTCCCCTGCCTCGGTGACCCTGGTAACACAACTTATGGTGTTTCTGGTAATTATAGTTTTGATTTTCTCATCGAGGAGCTACCATCTTGTACAAGAATGTATGATGTTTTATCAGTTCCAACTGGTACTTCGTTAGGAAATGAACATGGTGTTCTTCGTTTCAAGTGGTCTATACCAAATTGTACAGAATGTGAAGCAGATGGAAAGAGGTGTAGATGGAAGAACAGTGGCACCAACAGTGAAATTGAATGTGTGAGGAAACCAAGTAAGGATAACATATATTTGTACTCAGTGGTAGCTACTTATAAACATCTTTAAATTTATGTCTCAGTAATTATTATTTAAAAAAGATGTTGTCCATTTTATTAGGATTAATCGATTGGCAGTCTTGATTTAATTTGCAATTATCTTTTACAGGCAACACATGGAAATTATTGGCTACTGGTGGAATCCTGGGTTCTTTGCTTCTTGTTCTACTGATGATTGCAGCATATCGGGTATATAGCGCTGACAGAAAGCTAAAAGAGAGTCGATTAAGAATTGAAAGATTCTTGGAGGATTACAAAGCACTGAAACCGAGCAGGTATTTGTACGCAGATATTAAGAGGATTACAGATCAATTCAAGGACAAGTTGGGCCAAGGAGCCTATGGAACTGTCTTCAAGGGAAGGCTTTCTTCTGAATTCCTTATTGCTGTCAAAGTCCTCAACAGTTCTAAGGGAGATGGGGAAGAGTTCGTAAATGAAGTGCGAACCATGGGTCATATCCACCACGTCAACGTGGCTCGCTTGGTTGGATTTTGTGCTGATGGATTTGTACGAGCTCTTGTTTACGAGTTCTTCCCCAATGGTTCCCTGCAAGATTTCATTTCATCTGCAGATAGTAAGAATTCCTTCCTTGGTTGGGATAAGTTGCAAAATATTGCCCTCGGCATAGCCAAGGGAATTGAATATCTTCACCAAGGATGTGATCAACGAATCCTCCATTTCGATATCAAACCCCATAATGTTTTGCTAGACCAAAACTTCACTCCAAAAATTTCTGATTTTGGTTTGGCCAAGTTATGTTCCAAGGATCAAAGCTTGGTGTCTATGACTACAGCCAGGGGGACCATGGGATACATTGCACCCGAAGTGTTCTCCAGGAATTTCGGAAATGTGTCTTACAAGGCAGATGTCTATAGCTTTGGAATGCTGCTGCTCGAGATGGTAGGAGGAAGGAAGAATATTGGTTCAACCATAGAGAACACCACAAATGAAATATACTATCCACAGTGGATTTATAATCTTCTAGAGGAAGGGGATGACCTACGAATCCATATTGGGGAAGAAGGAGATGGTAAAATTCCAAAGAAACTTGCAATTATAGGGCTATGGTGTATCCAGTGGCACCCGGTGGATCGTCCGTCCATGAAAATAGCGGTTCAGATGTTAGAAGGAGACGGAGAAAGCTTGACCATGCCGCCTAATCCGTTTGTGGCTACAGGTCCTACAACTAAAAATGGAAGCATTCCGGCAAGACGACTAGAGTTGGAAGCCATTGCTGAACTGGAGTAGAAATTGTAACAACAATATATGTAATGTTAACATTGAATGTGTAATCTTTCAAACCTAATTTAAGGGTGTTTGTTTCCAATTCTTGTTAACTTTTTTTATTTTTTTATTTTGTAAGCGTCGAAGGAAATCAAGTCTTGGACTTGCCCTATGCATGTGGCAACCCCTCCCAAGTTTTTCTCTTCACATTCGGCCAACTTTTACTTGGAATTTTAATTAGTATAAATCTTAAACAAAGGAAAACAAAATGTAGTTTCTGAGGTATTGAATCATTGAAATAGACGTCGTGCTGCTGGGTTGGAACTTGGAAGAAACTTCATGGATGGATACTGGATAGAGGTAGCAAATTAACTCATTGAATTGTTAAGGGTATCCGATATTCACACTAGTTGCTATAATAAAAGATTTGGAATTATGTGTATTATCCAAATGATTATTCTTCTTTTATTAAATTTCCAAAGAAAATGAAAATGAAGTAAAATTGTATAAATTAATGAAGTGTCAAAAGACAATAATAAATTAATGGAAAAAGACTAAAATTGTATAAATTAATGGAGTATCAAAAGACAATAATAACAGAAAAAATCATTTTTCGTTAAACAAATTAACTATTTATTTAAGAGGATGTGGATGAAGGTTGATGCATCACGTGAATACAAAAAAACCAACTTTGAAGAGAGACATTCATTAGAAGCAAAGAAAAAAGTTATAATGATTTAGGAAAAAACAAGAAAAGGTAATTAAATGGGACTCATTGACATGATTAGGTAAGGGCCGGTGAACGAGAATTTTTTTAATATGATTGGAACACGAGATGATACATCATGTGTTATTATGTAAATAGTGGGATATGTGTGTTAAAAAGTTCATATCTTAAAAGGTAAATTTTTTCACTACTTACATAAAAATACATGATGTACCATTCATATTCCGATCACAATGAAGAATTTCTCATGGTAAACAATCTTGAGACATTCATTACAAGCCAATAAAAAAGTTATAACAATTTACCAAAAAGCAAGAAAACCTCATTAAGTGGGATTCATTAAAATACTTGATTAAGAGAAAAGTGGTGCTATCTACATACTTTATTCAATTTGCAGTTGACCGACATAATGAACCGAAAGAAAATCAAATAACAAAATTTAACAAATGATGCATAAGAAGTAAAAACGAATATGTAGATAGTACAACTAAATAATACTATTATGTTTACTTTCAAGTTTTTAAGGAAATGAGAGTGCTAGTTTGCAATTGGATA